AGCTACGACCACATGATGATCTGTAGATGTGGTCAGGAAAACTCTTTTGCAATGTAATAATATTTACATTAACCATTATTTTACTCCTTTTAATCACTTGCATACCTGCATTAGCATAAGATTTCTGGTTAAAGTTAACCATGTTGGCTAATTACTCTGGTTATTCATAAAGCCAGTTGCATGAGGTCTAATATTGTGATTTATCTCTTTTTCTATGTCACTCACAGTGTTTTGCTTCTCTGACTACACCTTAGTTGACACTAACCCTAAAAGCAAAGGACCCAGTAAATATTTTAAAAGATGATTCCAGCTACTAGAGACAGCCTGTGATGTGGAAATCTTGACATGCAGCTTCTACTTGCAATTATTGTGAGGCAAGTGTTTTCTTTATTTTTATTCTTTTTGTGTGTGCAGCAAAATTGGGTGTTGGCTAGATGTGTGGGGGCTGAGAGAATTCACCAGAGACAGAGTGAGAAGCAGAGCAGGCAGATCTACTGAAATACTCTGCTGAGGGGAGCAGCGGGTGAGACAGGAAAGGTCTGCTGTGCCAAGTGTGTCAGCTCCCTGCCCAGGAATTGAAATCGGGCTTTAGGGGTGCTAGAGGTGAGACTTAACCACTTAGGCCACTAGGGAGGCTCTTGGAGCAAGTTTTTTCAACATTAGACAATGCACACGTTTGTATGATTTATTTTTAGGTCAAAATATCATGCCTAAGAATGCATTTAAAGAATGTTAATATGGACAACTCCTTTCAAAGGATATACAAGGAGGTTTTACTCAGATGTCCCCCCAATCCAGACCACAGAAACAGCCACAGTTACCACCATCCCTTGTCTGGGACGTGCAGATGTGACTTCAGGTTGGCTCCTGAGCAAAGTTCTTACCCTTCTTGAGCTCAGGGCTTTTGCTCAGTTTTTCCTATCACTTCAGTCACTGTGTGTCACTGAGAGCACAGCAATATGTTGCTGAATCCTCCAGTTGTAAGGATGAAATGGTGAGGGAAATGGCTTTGTCTGCTTTCTGGAAGTTTATAGAATAGCGACCCTTTTTTACACTGTTGCCAGAAGACGAATGGTGGTAAACAAGGAAAGTCATCTTTCCGTCAGGAAGCTGCTTGTACCAATAAAGGTTGTATGCACTCCAACTTGCTTCATATCAACACCTCAGGATGACTTCTGACCCCTCTCTCGAGGCTATAGCTGGTTAGTCTTGCATAACTTTCTGGGCCATACTGGAACCTATGGGGAAATCAGAAACACAACTGATGGATGCAGTGAATTAATCATTATAAAAAATTAGACTAATTTTGGGGTCAGAGATAAATCAAGTTCAAATCATGACATGCCTGCTCTCCCCAGTCCTCCTGCCATCCCTCCTCCCCCTTGTCTGTCTGGTGCTGTCTTACCACCCTCCCCACCCTCACCTGGCCCAGCCTACCAGAGCAGGTGAAGGCCACCAGTGCCCACAGCAGGCTGGAGGGCGCCATGGGGCGTGTGTGCCTGACACGGTGGCAGCTGGGAGCCTAGTGTCTCTGCGAGCCTGGAGGGGTGTTTATGTAGTTCCTGAGGGTAAGACACCTCCTCCAAGGAAGTGGGGTTTCTTATGTTCCGTTGACTGCTGTGTCATGCACAGATGAGAAGAGTATGGCTCACTCAAACCTTAATATCATTATTTATCCCTCTCTGATAACTGAGGAAGGCAATGCATAAAGAGGCATGGAAAAGGAATTCATATTACAGTTTTGATCATGTTGAGTGCAGTTATTTGGGGGAGTCACTAAAAATTTCCCTTCTCCACAAGTATTTAGTGGTCCTTCATATACCTTGTATTAATTTCTCACTAACCAGAAACTGACCTTTTTTTTTAATTCACATATCTGAGATTTTCTCAGCAGAGACCAACTTATTCAAAACAATCTGTCTGTGTCTTCTTCCTGCTGAATTATTGGGCTTATTGAAGTTTTCCAATAAACAAAGCTGATTTAAACAAAAATCAAATGATTAAAAAACAGGTCTTTTGACCTAGACATAAGAAC